CGCACAATGTGCACATTGCACATATATTATGTATAATAATAACTCTGTATTTTTATCTCGAAGAACTCAGAGAACGGATATACAATATACCCGTTGCGATAACCCAGGTATAATATGATATTATGTAAATAATTCGTTTTTTCCCCAATTTAAAATTGGTGAAAGAAAATCATATTATTTCTTCTCCTATTTAACCGCAGCTCATAAATAATAACTAGATATCGCTCGTATATATAACTCGTGTATAGTCTATGTATTTCTCAAAAAATAGCTAACGTTCTCCTAATTCAATCTTTTTACTTTAACGGTTTTCTTTTTTTAACGTAACGCCGTTACACACACTCACCCGCATGTGATATATTATTATTATTATATACGCGTATATCTTAGTTTCCATTTTTTCCTCTTTTGCTCCATGTATTATATCCTACACGATACATAAACCTGCAACTATATAGGTATATACCGCAGATACCTTTATCATACTAGACTCTCCGCGGGATTTGACGCGAGACGGGGTGACCCTCCTCTCCATGCATGCGCGTTCCACTGCACCCATCCCCCTCCTGCGTGTTTATATAATATAACACCACTGAATCAATTTTCTTCTCCAAAGGAGGATATAAGTCTGTCGAACGACGAACTCGACGACGGTGGTGGTGGTTGTGGGAGGGGGTGTGCTAGTCGGGAGGGGGTGCTCCGTGCGTACTCATTTGTGGTGGGTAAGTGGAGCTATAGTATATACTTGCGGATTTGTTAGCAAATTGGAAATGGATTTTACTCTCGATCCTACCTTACCCACCCTATTACACCCCTTATACGTATATGATATTATCTCTTGCCGTCATCAAGTACGACCTGTACATAATACATTCATATATATAATATATATATATATTATTATTACTATATAAGTATCAAATCGTAATCTTCGGTAGATATAGTTTGTGGATGATGCGTAGGTACCTATACTCGTGTCTATATATATATATTATACGTTCTATAATAGCGCAGGTCACCGTGAGATGAAACAAAAAAAAAACTACTTAATACGCTGTTATATAGTAGTATTCCATTGTCCAGGAACATATCGTATTATAATCGTGACGATTTGTTCAAGTCCGTACTTACGGCGTAGCGACCCTGGCGTACAGACATGAAGGAATCGGCTTTTATTTATATTTAGTTGTTTCTATACTTAACCAGTGTACTGTAGCAGCAGCAGCAGTTGCTGTTGTAGTGGGCACTTTGTGTCATCGCGTTAAATCCCGTAAAACTCTTTCTCGAAAAAGCCGGTGAAAACTTTGTGGTAGCGCGAAGAAAACTTCTGTTCCATTAAGCTTATCTGTCATGCGCGAGGACGGATTAGTACGCGGCCTACAGCCGTGTCAGTCTTCGCGTTTTCCTCGCGCCACGTTATTATTATTTCGTCGCTCGTCACTACAGGCTATATTCTTCCCGAGTTAACAAATCTTCTGGAAACAAGAGCATTTACAGTGTATAGACGACGTTCTTGCAGTGAAAAACGGTTACCTACAGGCCATGTACAGTTTCGTTCTGATTTTATCAATTTATCCGGTATACAGCAAGTGTTGTTTCGAATAAACAAATAATATAACGTATAAGCTTAAAGCGTGGACATCTTACGGAAGAATTAAAAACTTTAAATTATTGCTACGACGGGTATTATATAGGTACTTACTACAGCGGCGGCGGTCAACGGCTTCATAACCATACTCGCGGATATACAATATTATTATGTATTATTTAGACTCTACGAAATAAATTGCCCAGAAATCCTCCGGTTCCGGTTCACAACCTCGACCGTGGCATATAGCTTAAAATTAAGTAATGCGTGTTATCTGCAGGCAATCTACATGCAGTACGAAGTGTTCTAGGGAGAACACGGCATAACACAATGTTATATATGTATGAGTTCGGTCTGATCGTAAGGTGTAAATTAATTATTAACGACGCCCGCTCTTCCTCGTTAATAATAATAGTAATAACGCTATAAAAAAAAATTAACAACAACACTTGGAGTGAGAAAAGTAATAAATAGTTACAGTCGGACGAAGGCGCTGCTTCGGTTACGCCAGAGCGGATTTAAGACAATGGGTGTGTATATAGCTACAGCCCATAGCAGTGGGCTAATTGCGTTTGTTTCCCTTCTGTAATCATTAGAACGTCGTTGTAATCCCGTATTTCTTTGATACCTACAAAATCATGTCTGGGAAAATGTTTCTGATTGGCTCGTCACCACGACTCTGCATACAACCAATCTGTGTGAAAAAAAATTATCGTTAGGTTTTTGCACGTTCTATCTGATTTTTTTCTGTTTTTGAGTAGTTTTTATATCCGAACGTTCAGGACCAACTGCCAGATAGTTTTTTTTTCGTTATTAATAGAAAGTGCTACCTATTCTATGTGCCAGCTTCATAAACCATAGGTACATATGTTGAAATATCGATTTTTGGATACGTTTTCTGCGGCGGGATTTTTAATACGTTTACGCGATAGGGGAAAAAAATATCAATAGAGCAACACACAATAGTCGTGCGATAGTTGTAGTGCGCGACGGCATTTGTGTGAGGATGATGTGAGAAGGGGGGGGAGTAATAAAACAAACTTTCGACTTCGGGTCGTGGAAAGAACCGCGAGTGTTTGGCGAGATGATAAACGACCCGGCTTTTGTAGCGAATTTTTCCGGTTGCCAAGACGTTCAGCTCCAGCGGGGAAGGAGTAAACGTGTGTGTAGGTGTGTGTATGTATTATGTAGGTACGTGGATGAGGTAGAAGGAATTGTCCAAAAAGTTTTGTCACCTTTTGTCAAAACACCGTACTTACGGACAATAGAGGTCGATGGTATATAAAATCTGAATAGAAAACGTAGAGGGATGCCTTGGTGACGACTATTTATCACGAATAAAAAGGAGGTAGGAAATAAAAGAAACGCCTCTGCCGTAACCTAACCTATACCCTATAATCTACCTGTGTGATACGAAACGTATTACATCGACATGGGGTTTTTAGGGTCCCCCATTTTTCGGATACATCTCATGAAACGTATATATTATTATATTATATTAATATAAAAAATGAAAATAGTTAAAAAAATATAATAATAATAAAACAGTTTCAAATAAGAAAACCTGACACGTGGCAGATCGGGGAACTGTCGAAAAACCTCCTTTGGTATATAAAAGCTATGCGCTGGATGTATTCCTGTTGTTGTTTGTAGTACGCATATACAGGTCGATATATAGAAAGTACACTCTGGGGAGGAATATTTTCCCTAATAACTACCAGGTGAACGGGTGGTCGAGAGGGGGGATGGGTTTAGCGAACGTAGCCGCACGTTTTGACGAAAGGAAGACACGTATATATATATATATATGGAAGAGGAGAGTTATTGGTGGGTGTGTGTGTATATATATATAATATTACATGCGTGCCAGAAATGAATGATGTCGCTCCCTTTTATTATGTTCTGATAAAAATAATAATAAAAAGTTTGTTTATTTATTTTTATTATTATTATTTTCGGCGAACGACGATGATGGAAAACCGCAAAGCAATTTTTACTTCCGTTTATACTATCATCACGGGCGCAGGGTGTGCAGTGTGTGTTTTTACACTGTACATGCCTTGTCAAAGTTGTTGGAGGGGGGAGGGGAAGGATAAGGATGGATCACGAAGTTGAATGGATTTTATTTTGCCGCAACGGCTCGATGCTTTTAGCGCGTTGAACAAACACTGTCTAAAGATCGGTTATTCCGATTCAGTCATCGACTGTACACGCGATGGCACGTCTCTGACTCTCTGTGACGAATTCTCTGTCGTACTCGTTATATACCGTATTAACTTTCAGAGTAAGAAACAGACGAAGAGGAAAATAATAAGAAAAAAAATCGAAATTTTTGATTACCTCTACGGGCGTTATGGGTTTTACTTTCGCGTGTGTTCGACTGCACCGAATCAAGGGGAGTCTTACTATTAGATTTTTCTATACTAAAATACGCGTGTTTGTTATATTTTATATACATTATGTTTACGTATGAATAAAAAAAGTTTCGTATTTGTTGGGAAACTAGGTAAGAAAATTGGATAGGAAAAAAACATAAGCGAAAATATATTATTTTGCTTATATAAGAAAATAAGGAAAGAAACCTTCTGTTTACACACTCCCACATACACACACACACACACATCTTCATCTTCTATGCGTGTTCTATTCGATTTGTATCGAAAATATTAATGTAAAAATACATTATTTTCTACCATAATATTTCGCTCGGATATCGAATTGTTTGGTTTTTTTATGCTTTCGAAACAGCGATAAACACGCTCGATTTCCTCGAGGCTGATACAAAAAAATGAATCGAATTTTACGAATATTATATTATTAAACAGTTGACATACGAGGGCGGATCATCACCGTTGTCTTAGATTATTTAGAAATTATCATGTTTTAAATAGTGACAAACATATTTCAAACGTTTTTTTTTCGATTCTTCAAACATGGAAGTTTCAGGCAATTGTACCTACCTGAAGTGCGACTGCGGTCGCCGGCCTCGACGCCGTAATCCGATGATGACGCTTCTCGCCTAGCGATATCAAACACTTTCCCACTTTTCTCACCCCTTCCGTTTCCCTAACAAACCTAGATTCTTGGGAATTATATTTGAATATCCGTGTTCCGGAAAACCACCCTCTCCGGGCCCCATCAGCTCGCGGTCTGTCGCATTCGGTGAGTCTGCCGAAAGCACTCGGGGCTCCCGAGCAGTAGGTCAAAAATCATACCACCACCGAATTAGCATTTCACCGCTTCCGTCGCAGTCTAATGAACCGGACCGACCTGTACGATCTCCTCGCTCTCGTCAACAAATCCTTTGTTCATTATTACATTTATTATAATGCGTATATATACAGTTGAAAGGTACAATTTAACGGTTCGTACTAATCAGTTTACTCGTTTGTTTTTGCAGGCCTTCCTAGAAATGGCGGACGAGACGTCGGCATCGGCCATGGTCACATACTTCACGACATGTACGGCTCAGCTCAGGGGTCGCGCAGTGTTCATACAGTTCAGCAATCATAAGGAGTTAAAAACGGACCAAACTCACAGCAACGCCGTAAGTATCTTTACAATACATTTATACACAGTGAAAACTTTAGTCGTCCAAGGATGAAAAAGTTTTAGTTATTATTTTTTCTTCTTCAGAAATTGGGTTGTTTAATTTTTAAACGAGAATGTTTTGTTGTTGCCCGTCGTAGGTAAACTGTGAAAGTTATTCGAATAATATTTAGGGCTCAAGAGCGAGGGGGGGGAGGGTGGAGAAATACTAGTGTTTTTAAAAACACATAAAATCCGTTTAAAAAGACGTTTTAAATTTAATTTTCTGAACAAAAACATATTTCATTTACGTAAATTAGTTTTAATATTATAAACTTCGTCGCTATTTCGATATTTTTTTTTCTTGCTTATAATAATTACAATAATAATAACAACACAAAATCGAATAAGGCGTTCCGCGAAAAAATTCCATTTTGACCAAGTTAAGGGGCCTGCTCGCGATTTTTCAAATTTTCCGCAATTCTATAAAATTTGAAAATTAAATTTTATATTTTAGTTGCCACCTGAATTATAAGACTTTTCCACTAATCTACTACCCAATACCTATTTAGGGGGGGTTGATAGGGTGTATTATATCGGTCAAAACACAGTTTACAGGAAAAACTCTCACACCTCGTAGATTGGTCCGATTTCCGTAATTTTTTTTTGTTAAATAGAGGAATATTTTTTACAGGGCGCATTGGACTTCGATTTTTGATTACGTCGCTAAAAACAAAAAATAATACAAAAACTAAAAAGTTGTAAAAATTGATTAAATTCAAACTTGTAACATCAGACTTAGAAAAATAATTTTGAAAATCCAAGTCCAATGCGCCCTGTAAGAAGTCTTCCTCTATCTAACAAAAAAAAAATTACGGAAATCGGACCAATCTACGAGGCGTGAGAGTTTTTCCTGTAAGGCATGTTTTTGAGCAAAAAAACCGGTCGCGTGCAGGCCCCTTAATATAAATATAAATAACCGTTTTATATAAAAATTACAATTACATTGTATAGCCGATAAAATAGCCCTCACCATGATAAATATTTTGCTATCGAAAACTATAAAATTATGTTTGCGGCTTTGTTTTACTAGTACCTAAAGTTCAATGTAATTTTAGTCCGAGCCGTTCAATCGACAGACGTTCGAACTTTATTGTATTAAAATATTATCATTGTATATAATGGTGTGTGTGTGAGTATCGGTAGAAATAAAGTTTACGAAACTACAATGAGGGGTATTAGATTCAATTCACGCGTGCGGGAAACCATATATCTGATGTATGTTCGGTCGGTGAGGATTATTTTATCGTGTGAGCGATATTTCATTGTGATGGTGATGGGTTTGATGAGAAAAAAAAGTCAAACAATCCTGTCGCGATGAATGTATGTGATTGTCATTTTTATTTTTTAGATAATATATTACCTATAAACAGTGGGACCGTCTAAACTTTTTTCCATTTGATATATTATTTTATAAAATATGGTCAAGATATAATAACTAATAATTGTATATTATATCAGCTTAAGATTCACATTTACCGATAATCGTAATATCTTTTAGTTTACCCCCAAGTCTTAAACGGTATTGAGTGAAATATTCATCGTAATAATAGTATTTTTTTGATAGATATTTTTTTTTGTTTTAATTTATTCATTTAGCCTAGGTATTGATGGTCATTAGCTTTTTTTTCATTACATATCTATATGCTTCAACTTACATTTTTTTTTCGATAGATAATTATTTCCATTAATACATAATGTGCCTTAGTCGTTGAGCGAGCGACGGCGTATTATGTGACTTACAGTTTAAGGAAACTGACTATATATACTACCGAGCTATAATAATATAATATATATTATATATACATGCAGCACGCCTATATATGTATACAGAGTGCGTAACATGAGATCGTTATAGAGATTTCTCCTAAGCAGGGACTATATGTCTATAGAGGGTTGCCAGTAGCTCGCTAAAAACTTTTAACGAGCTTATTACAAATTGAAACCGTTTTTTAACCCTTCTCTCCCTCTCCACGGCTTCGCTTTTATATATAAACGAGTATAATATATATATATATGTACATTCGCATTCCAACATTCATCCTTCCTCATCCGGACGGAGTTTTGGTCTATATATATATGTATGTTTTTCTCTCTATATATACTACCCCGTATCGTATTATTAATTCCCCGTTTGTCGTCACCGCGTACACGTCGCAGCACATACATATTATACGATGCGTTGTAAAACGGTGACATTGCTAAGACTCTAATAAAAACGTCCGACGGTAAAACGAATAAATATAATATAATGACTACCATATGTGATATATATATATACACCGAAAACGTTTACGTGTATATGCTCTGCGGGGCCTGTTCGCTCGGATTTAGATTTTGCGGTCGCGTATCCGTATTTCGTATCCGGTTTCGGCCAGAGTCCTTCCTGTTGCCGATGCAGACCCGCAGCCACCCTCTACCGCTGAAAGTCGGACGAAAATCGTCGGTGATTTATTGGCTCGTGTGGTTCCCCGTGATCGATAGCCTGTCGATAATGTAAAATATAACGTACGAGCCCCACGATAACACCGCGGTAAATCTAGCTGCCGAAATAATAATATGAATCGTGATCGTAATCGCAGTGGTCAGCGGAATAATAATAATAATAACGCCGATGACGAGAGCCGAACTGCTACGACTATATAAAGAGTATAAAAACACATATATGATAATATTCAATGGAAGTTACAATACAATATATGAATATTCAAATTTTTAAATATTTTCTCTCCTGCAGAAAAGTAAACCTATCTCAAATATAACTCTTTACATTATCTCTAATTATATCGAGAAACTTAAAAATGAAAATATGATTAATTTTGATGACAGATCTTTTATTCAGTAATGCGAGTAAAGACTTTCCAAAATAATTTAAAAAAAATACTTAATAGAAAAAAAAGTTGTCCTGGCAAAGTTACTCGGTATACATAATTAATATAATAACCTATACTCGGTTTTCGCTCAACCTTATTATAAATTTAACAAAAACAGACGACATTTGTGTTTTTAATTACGCTCGTATATATTATTAGATTATATTATATAGGTATATACCGCGTTCTTCCCTTCAATCCAGCCATGTATTATACAGCAGGTAGTCGGTATGCATATGTCAAAAGATGCGAAAACGTCTCGTCGTGCGTACATAATTGTGTTTCGACAAATGACAATGGTTAAAGCGTGTTATTTATTATATCCCTATATAATAGTAGGTACCAGCTGTATGGTATATGATGACATTATGTGGGCACGTACTCGCGAGAGAAGGATCTCGAACGAAACGACGTTTTTTCAGTGCTAAGCACAATTTGCGAGTCAGCCTAACCGCATAATATTTTACCTGTGTGCAGCGTGTGCGGTATGCTATTATTGTGTTTTCTTATCGGCGCGGGAGATTTTTAATGAAGATGACGGTCCCGCGATGCTGTGCAGCGGTATATACCTGCAGAAGTCTGGTAACCAGAAACAAAACAAGTATAATCGCTGCGGCGTCTACCCACAGCCTGCACACGGGTCGGTATTATATTATTTCGTCGTCCGTGCCGCGGTTTGTACGTTAATGTTATAATATTATATTATACGATTTATCATGTCGTCGCGCTTTCTCGTACACGGTTTACCGACTCCCTAGCGTTTATGCAGTCACGTCGTGTATGTAGTCATGACATTATATTATATTATATTACATATATATTCGTAAGTGCGTATTTACTATGTGTGTGAGCGGTTTCGTAAAATAATCCCAGGATTCGTCGACGCGTACCCAAGCAGGATTCGTAACCGTGATCTCATTGCAGTGCTCCTTTGCAGATTTTCGAAAAGAACAAATCGCACGATTGTATTTTCGTAAAGTGTATAGCCGTTTTGTTTCGTTTTTCCATATATGACCGTTCTCAGCGCGTTCATATATAATTTATACCTTCGACGTCTAAGTCTTGATCTTCGCCCCCCCTCGTAACGATACTATTTGTACGAACGTTACTGTCTGCCCGGACGAATATACGATATTATAAAAGTGAAATATAAATCGAGTTGTGACAATACTCTCCTCCCACCCTTCGTGTTACCTCTGTTTTCGTCGAGGATCCGTGCGAGTGATAATTTGTAAAATATTCACCTCGTGTTTGCATAGCACAACTACGGATTTTAGGCCTGTTAAAATTTTAAAATACACTCAATGTTCCGCGCACTGGATAATGTCGGGAACACACGATTTGGTGAAAATAACACTTAAACCACCGAACGCTTTGGCCGGCGATCTCGTATAGGTGCGCTCCCGGGGCCGCTCCCTCCCGAGAATTTGACGATCATATTGTGGCGTTAAACTTCTGAAACGACGATGTCCGCAAGACGACTCGGGTGTGTTGTACCACGCGTCGTAAACCTCACGATTACCTAAATAAAAACGACCTCCGGAAACGATCCATATAACGCCGCCACGTCCGTCCGTTCGAGTTCAATCCGCGGTGGACGCTCATGCGATTTTCGCTGTACAAATTCCGATCTGGGATCCAATAACCGCGTGTTTACGGACGGCCGTAAAATATTATACGCCTGCCAGGGTACGTTCAACGTCATAAAACCGTGATAAATCCCTCTAGCGAAGGACCGCGGCTGCCGTTACGGTCGAGGGCAGCAATAACGCGCTCGTGGCGGATAAACGTTTATTTAATACCTCACCCTTCTTAAGGTGGTAATAACGACATTGTCCCGTTCCCACCTCGCGTCGGTCTGATATGTATACCCCTTGCGTCTTAAACCCCAAATGGTTCATCCTGCACTCGCCCCTTATTCGTGCTGACGAATCTTCGGTGACCGTAAGCCCGCCCCGAGATATAAGATATTTATAATATATATATATCTGCGAACAAACGTGCTTGTGTCGTATTTGTATACAGTAATCCTCGCGGTCGATCGCTTGATGAACAACGCTGCGAGGAAAAAGAGAAAGGATTTCGAGAGCAAATTAGGAGAGAAAAAAAGTATTCTCTTTGTTTTCGCTTGATGGATTGAAATAAGAAACGTCTGTGACAACTCCGTTCCGGAACCATTGATCTTTTTTGTTTTCTGCTGTTCAAAAATTAATCTGGCGAGAAAAGGGGGTAAAACACAAGTAAGAGACAGAGATAGAAAACATTAGATATATATATATTATATACCTATATAATATATAGACTACGACGAATCGGCGTGACAACGAGTGTGCTTCGGCGTAAATGGACGGAAACCGGAATCCGGACAGTCTTGGTGATGATGATGGTGGGGGAGGATACCTGTCAGAGAAGTTTTTCGGGCGATCGATAAGTGCGTAAGGGGGGGGGAGGGGAATACCCGTTGTAATGTAATGGTCGTATAAAGTTTTCGAACTTCCGCGGCGGCGATAAAATCGTCGTGGTCCCGGATGAAGAATGGCGGCCGGAGGTGTGTAGACGCAGACGACGACGATACAAAAGGGTTGTGCGAGCCTGAACGTATACATATATATATAAACACGTCGCAATCATTGTTTTCTTTCGGTATTATTGTGATTTTCGATATTTCGTTAACAATACTAATTTTAGATTGACTCCTATCGATTTCTGATTAATGTATATATGTAGTACTCCCTTGATATAGCCAACGTGATATATATATATCATTATATATTCGCTTTCGTGTTTTTGGACTACTCGGCAGGGTAAAGTGGTAGCGACGGTAACAGAACACACTAAATCGTCGTTCGCGTGCGTGTTTTTGTGCGATGATACGATAGTGCTCTCAAAAAGGGATTCGACGAGAATGTCGTTTGGATTAATTGTGACGTACCCGGGTGGACAAGTTGAGTAATTACAGACGGTCGGTCGGGTGAGTGAGCGAAACTCACTTTTACAAATCCCCCGTGTCCAGCTGGAGACGCGCGCGGTAGAGCTGCTGACTAATGGTCGGCTACCCCTCACCACCGGCTCTGCCTTCCATTTCACGAGTTTTCCCGAATAAAACTAAATGTTTACTAGTGTCATTTGTAAACGTCCCACGTGGTGTTTTAGTTTTGAGGTTTTTTCTTTCATTCCCGTGTTTCGAACGGACGGAACCAACTTCTACCACCCGCCGTGGCTTGCACGTATTATTGTCATCAACCCTTACTGCCGGCTGTTCGAAAATAAGTCGCGTATCATATGAAAAACAACACCCTTCTATCCCCACGCCATCGGTTTACCTGCTGTGTGTATCGCATATCGCATATGTGAACAATTAACGCATACCGTATGTACGGTTAATGTAAAAGCTGGGACTTACTCGCGGTGTTTTACAACACAATCCGTTTTGACGCCGATAAAATATTATACCTCCATCGCCTGTCCGATTTGTCGTTAGCATCGCGTCAGCTCCTCTTCCCACTATCCCTATTAACTGCCACCCTTTCGTAGTGGGTATATTCTGTATTATTAATGGATGGCCTAGATATACAATATATATTAATAACTCTCGCTCTGCATCACCTACCCACTCTCTGAAACCCACCAGTCACCTTGCCACCCTCTCTAACACAAGCTGCAGTCTTTCGTCGTCTTTCCACCGTTCATTTATCATTTTGGTTTTAATTCATTTTCCAGAATGCATCGGCTCAAGCGGCACTACAAGCGGCCCAAGCACTGGCTGGCCAGAGTGACGTACAAGGAGGTCCAAACACCGTGCTCCGGGTAATCGTCGAGCACATGGTGTTCCCAATCAGTCTGGACGTCCTCTACGAGGTGAGTTTGCCAGATTATAATTTACTACAAATTTAATATCCACCGTGAATTTAGATGAGTGGCTGATTTATCATAAACGCCGCCGTTGGAGTGGGTTGTACAGCCTCATAGTATATTACAATATATACGTACCTATATATGTATGTAAATATAAATATTATACGATATCAAGTCCGTTGGCATATTGTACGATATAATGAAACATTTCTGTACGATAATTTGTTATTGAGTATAAATTAAAACCACGGAAAATATAATTTCTTAGTTACTATTTTTATATTTGTGTTCGCCATTTCCTCGGTTGTCGAATCAGAAAATACGAAATCTGCGAACAGGTTCTAATTTCTGAAACTCTGAGAACTTGTCCAACGTTTTTTTTTTTAATCGAGTTCAGAACGTATTGCCGTTTGATTGAAATTATTTTTGACTTCGATCCCGGCGGATCATTAGGTACCTACCGAATATATAACACTCGTATATACTGTATATTATATCGTCGAAGATGTATTTTCGTCGTCGGAAGTATAGAAACGTGTGTGCCCTGTAAATAATATAATGCGGTGCTACGACGTATATAGGACGTGTAAAAATATGCGTCAAACGAGTTGATTCGTTATCCTATACAATCATAATAATACGTATATACGATATTTTATGCATCTGCTGGAACGGTGTGCCGTCTTATGAATTCCACCTCCATTGTGTTATCTATATCGAGTTGCATTTCCGATTCAATCGTTCGTACATTGAAAACCAATTCCCCACGGTTGTTTTATCGCATGCTCGGCGCACCGAATTCTCGTTACTCTAAACATTCGAGTCGTTGCCGCACGGTATTTTGAGACTGCGTTCCTCTACGTTTTAAATTAAATAACAGTTGCAGTGTCGCGGACCCCATGTTAGTGCTGTTTATTATGATAAAACATGCGATTTGATGTATAATAAAGGAGTAGTGCTTATGTATATATGTAGGTACGTTTCCAAGCGGTCAGAACTCCTCGTGAGCAATTTTATTTCATTTTACATATTACAATGTATTATGGCGGCGGCGATACGACAATGTCCTTCGTCGATTCCGTGAAACGTCTTAAACTTAGTCGATAAAAAAATTGTATATATAACGCGTAGGTATGTATATATATTAAAAAAGTGCGTCGTTAAAAGTTCTTCGATTAAACTGCAAGAAATATAATATTTATACATATAATATTGCATAGAGTACCTATAGGTTATATATTATAGTTTAAGCTGTTGTGTAACTATACAAAATAACTTCAATTTCACAATTTTATGGTTTTTAAATAATCTAAAATATGAACCGATCAAACGATATCACTCGTGATATCCAAATATGAAGTACCTGCATTGCTTTCGCGGGAGTCCAGAAAATCTATTTACAACGTTTGTAACATATCAGGTAATGCTTTTCCGTAGATATTGTTTTACTTGTCGGGGAGTGCGAAAAAAAACGGTCACGGAAGAGCTCTAATTTTCGTGAACCGATAAAATAAAAATTTTAGATACCTCTGTGTACATTTGGGTATTTAACTGATTTGAAATTTAGACACTAAATTGTAATTATAAAAAATGTATACCTATAATACTGTTGATTTATATATGAATAACCCCTAAACCCTCTACATCGCCATATATTGCTTGTAAAACTGATAACAGAACAATTTATTATAAGTTATATTATTCTTATTATTAATAACGATTACGTCGTACGCATAGTAAGCGCAACTCACGTTATGGGATGGTCGTGGGGAGGTGGTTGGAGGATTCCCTTTCAGCAAAATAAGAGTATTTGATGACGAAGATTTATGATCATCATATCCTCCACTGTGGTGTTGGCTAGTTTCGGCACGTATGTGGTAAGCGTTTAGGCCGGGCCCTGGATTTTTCAATTTTATCGATTTCAAATATGAAGCAAAAAGCTGTATCAGAGGGAGGCTCAGGGGCCCACGGAAGATACACAATTGTTTTTGTAGTGGTACACTCCTTAAAAAAACACTGCACTGTCCATTAAATCGTGTACGACGCATCTATTATATATTTCGCTGGGGAACATCATACAATAGGACATCTTAATACAGTTGACAATCGAAAGTGTTTACTAAACATCCCTTAACTAGGTACATATTAGTATGCAATGCGCCCTCATCGTCACGTGGTATACGCACCCTATAAAGCTCTAAATCGATAAAAATTTGAAATTACAACTGCACCGATCTTTCGTGACGCCGAGACTTGGACTGGCCGAGCGTATCGTAAAACGGCGCGCGCATTCTATAGCCATCGACTGCGATCCATCCTCCGCCGTCGCCGTTTACCCCTGTGGCGTAAATTTAATTACGTTTTCACATTAAACCTCCACCGCTGCCGCCACTGGATGGTTTGTATAGCGATGGGTGTGTGGGGTAGCGTGTGTACCTATATATATATAAATATATATATTGTATATTATATATATATATGCGTGCGTGCACAGGCGAGCCGGTCTGAAGTTGCTGTGGTCTTATATATTACTCTCTCACCCCCGGTCGACCCTCGGGCATCACGTTTTCACGTACATCTGAGAAACGTGGTGTGTTTTTATCCGCACACGAACACGCGACCACCACTGAGTAGGTGTAATCCCCACACCGAAGACCTGGCTCCACGACGACCCCCGGGCCGTGGTGGTCTTATTGCGACCGCACGCAACGCTCTATGTACCTCCACCTAAAAGGTTTTTTTCATCTGCCGTAAACGTATTGTTTTAAGTCCGGCTTGCTACTTATTTAAAAGACGTTTCGAATTGCACTATAGCTGCAATGATTTAATTCAATTTGTTGAGTGTGTTATGTAATAACAGAGTAACACGAATTTATTACATTTTTAAGGAAAAACCTATGGTTTTTTGAACAATCATTTTTGTTTTTACATATTCCGTCCCTCTAAATGTGACTTTATTGACAAATATGCCATTCTTAGTGTCTAGCGTCAAAATACATTTATATCGTAAAGAGTTTTTGCTAAAAAACACGAGATGTTTCGCTGTTAAGAATTCTAACGTTCTAACTTGTAGTATTGTATTTATTATAAACCAAAACAAAAAAGTATTAATAATTAATGATAAATAAATCATCCAACAATCTACTACTGCGACATTGAACGCATAATTATGTAAAATAAGAGTTGTGTGTATAAAAATTGTCTTTTAAAATGAATCACAATGCTCTACTTGTCTGACGTAAAAAATTTAATTGACCGTCCCAAAAAGACATAATAATTAGTGTGAATTGGACCCCGAAAATTATTGGTCTCTAAATAGAACTAGATTCGCATAAATGTAAAGATTTTTTTATATTATAACGATGATTTAACTTGTAATAGGTATTAATAATATTGACTTGCATATTAACAATATTATGTATATTATACTATATATTATATTATTATGGAATCACTACAATAAAATGGTTACACTGGTTGGAATATAATAAATTACAAGTCATTGTTATTATTGTTGGTTTCGGTAATATTTCTATGATCAATTTAAATCGGTATTTGATGTTTTCGATGGTACCACGACGATGTACAAAATGTAATGTATGCGCGTGCGCATGTATGAAGAGGCAGCAGTTTATAAAACAAAATTCGCCTTACCTCGCCACTCCACATCCCGTCATCATTGGATTGTTGTGCTTAAAGTCAAGTCCAGAGTTAGTGTATACGACTACGACGGTTATCTTTTTTTTTGTTATTCTTTTTTCGTATTCTATATCCAATTAAAAATAATTAAAGTAAACATTTACACAACGTTGTTGCAACGGGAAAATGGTTTTTTTTTTCCAAAATGTATTTCCCGCTTAATAGCAAATGTATGTTTTACAAATAGACGGTCGTTTGCTGTACTACACGAGTTATTTTTTTCTCACTTGGCATATATGCTCGGACTCTCGAACACAGAACTTGTCCTTTCCCGAAATAAAATCAGATGAATATTTTATATTAAGTACCACTATCGTTGTGACGAATAAATACAAAATATTGTATGAGTTAACGACGGCGGCGCGACATTATAATATAATGTGTACAATAATATTCCGTACTTACATCATAATAATATAATGTCGGTCGGTCTGTTATGACGTTTATTTTTGTTTTTCGTCTAAACGTTACGAATTTCTTCAACAAACGTGCAATGTATAGTTTTAAAAATATACACATTTTATTTTCCTCTCCCTGGTGGTAGGTAGCTTGGTATAGTCTTGTTTTTAGATCCCGAGCGACGATGGAAAATATGTTTTCATACGATAATCGTTTTTTCTCGATTTTTATTTTATTCCCTCGTGGATACCGTCTCGGTGCTGTGCGGTGAAAGAACTCCCCAAAAGTTTCCGTCCGCCCGCGCGTCGTCTTTCGACAGTCTTTTATAACGGACAACAGTCATTGAACAGGTCGTTTTTTTTTTTCAATTTTCTTAACAGTTTCTCTTTCGAGGAAAAACTACCCCGTGCGATCCCCGAAAAATATCGAATACGACTGGCGGCCAGTCCGTCCTGCAGCTTTCGTGTTTTTTCTTTCTTTTTTTTTTTTATCCTTATCGATCGGTGCAGCGGACACCGAACGTCGGCAGCCGTTGTTTATAAATTATTTACCAATTAAAACGCGACGTATTTATTCTGCGCTGCAGTGTACCACGATAATTAAAATTTGAATAAATTCTTTTGATCTAATTTCAACCTGCGATGGCGCGTGTACACACACACACACACATGTATAGTAGAGGAAAAGCGTATCTCTCAACGAACTTAAAGTATATATAATATATACATATAGTTTATTATGTCGTTTTGTCCCCGTTTACGGGACAACCACCCGCCGTCGTGGGTAACTGCAGCAGCAGCATGCACAAGTACTAAGTGAATTATGTATACATAATGTAGGTACAAGTATATTGTATTACATTATGTGTCCGTATAATGTACCTATATACAGAGGCAATGTTTGCAGCGTATACAGCAACTATAGGCGCAGTACAATCGTTT